TTAGTGTTCCATTCAATGCAAATAGAATCAACAAATAAGATAGAAAAAAAAACAAGTACCGAACTCTCGAAGCCATAAATAAATTAAAAGAAAAAAATGCAAGAAATAAAATTGAAAATGAGAACAACAGTTAAAGATATAAAATCACACACCGACAATAAAATGGGCAGGCAAAGTGCATCACTCGTAACAGAAAATGTAATGTACATGAAAAGTCGTGAACGATGCGAAGTACTTGACAGGCTGACACTAATATCACACATGCAAATGCAACATGATACAATGTATCCTACAGGCTACTACTAATGCACTGGCACCACATGTCGAAAAAAATACAAGAAACAATAGTATACAAGTCGTGTCGTAGCTACCTAAATGATACAAGAAAAAAAAAATAATGTACAGTCTGAACTCAGTAGTGTGCAACCGACAACACTCTACGAACACCCTACTCAGCCTACTGGCACCAAAATCATACTCTACGAACACCCTACTGCTACCAAAATCATACACACCAACAAGTAAAGCACGCAAACAACCATTGAGTGTCTGACAATACTGAGACAAGACGAGACGATTCAGACTACAAAAAAACTACAACCGCACAACATGACGACGTACAGTGCGAGTAGGGGAGAAGAGGAGTGTTGGCCTCATCGGTCAACGACCCTTCTTCCCCTTCCCGTTGTGTCTCCTCGTGCCCCCTCGAGTGTCGGATGTCGACCTCTTCCTCCCGCGTGAGGATGAAGAAGTCCGTGCAGCGGAGCGTCTAGATGCACGCGTCGGTGGGGGTCCTGGGGAAGGTGGGGGCTCATCGTAGTCGTCGTCGTCGTCACCATCGGAACCGCTGCTGCTATCCTCCTCTCCCTCCTCCTCGCCCTCGTAGTCCTCGTCCGCATCCCGCACAGCCGCATCCGTATCAGGATCATCCTCCTTGATGATGATTGGGCCTCCTCCCTTCCTCAACACAACAACCCTCGCACAAGCCTCTGCAACGGTCTGCTCACGGCGGGAACCACGAGGCATCCTAACCCCTCCGCCCCCGAACTCTCTCCAGGTGTTGCGCCTCCCTCTGCAGGCACGGGGCGTGGACGAGGAGGTACTCCACGCTTGCGTGGAGTCTGCTCCTGCACGGTGTCAGGCGTTGAGGCTCCTTCCTCTTTCTTTCTTTGATCTCTCTTGCGATTTCTTCTTCTGATACCCCTTCCAGCGGGGATCGCTCACGACCCACCGCCGCTGGTTTAACTTTCTGAGCTACCCGCTTGTGTCGCTTAGGCGGTCCCCCGTAGGGGGCCGTGCCCTTAAAAAAGACACGGATACCACACCGCCTAATTCCTCATCTTCTTCCTTTGGGTATGAGTTGCCATCCACTATTAACCGACCCCCTAAATCTTCTACCTCGACGATTCGGCCTTCTCCCTCTGTGAGCAGTGGTCCATACTCCTTCTCGCGAAACCGCACCGCGCGGCTGGAGATAGGTAAAGACCTAACCTGATCACTGGGTCTCGCACCCACAGCGAGAGCTGCTCTGTTCCTCGGGTCCCGAGGCTCCACCGTCTCAATCATCACTCGCGTCCCGTCTGGCTTCTTAATGGACAATGTCTGGCTCCCGTCAGGTCGCTCTATTGTCACCGCATGGACGTGGCTCAGCCATGTCCGTCCCAAGAGCAGGTCAGAGCTGCNAGCAGGTCAGAGCTGCAGTTTTTTACTGCAAAAACGGGCAGGGTCACTCGTACCCCTTGGACCTCTATGGCTGCCTCGTGACAAACCCCTGTGATCTGTTGCTTTCTACCATCAGCCGTCTCTATCTCGAATAGATACGACCTRTCGAGGCCCAGCCCAACCTGCACTGCCAGGTCGTCGTCTATGATAACTGCCTCACTGCCGTTATCGATCACAGCATCAAGTATCGCTCCATCGTTTATAATTGTCTCCACTGCCCCACAACCAAGTATATAAAATTTGTCTGGGGGCACACCCTCCATTCCATCGAGAAGGACTGTTGCCATGCGATCGGCTTTGGCAGTCACCCCCGTTACTGCTACTGTAGAAGCTTCCGCCTTAGGGGCCCCTTGCCCCTCCTCTGATAGAGGTATGCGAGTCTTGCGCGTGATCATCTGTAGCTCATCACGAGCCGGCTTCGATGCCGCGAGGTACTCCAGAATAGAGCATTGCATGGGCTGTCGAAGGGCCCTCCTTAGTGGCTCGACTGTGTCAATCTCATCCAGCGAACTCTTCATYAAAAACTTCTTCACTCCCCGTTTCCGCGGCGAAAGGATAACATCCTCTCCATCAACTCGCTGCCCGTCCTTCTCTGCCATCACGTAGTCCGTGTTAGTCTTTTTGATGTAGATCCTCTTGCCAACTTCGTGGCCGCCACTCTTATGGGCGTGGTCGCCATGTCCCCTTCAAAAGTTATCTTGATGCTCTGGCTCCTAACCGGCTCCATTCTCCTACTTGTCTTTATTCTCCTTGCTTCGACATTCTCCTTCATCATCGAAGGGAACATTGATACATCTCCGAGATCATCTGCCCACTTGACGTACTTGCGATCGTCAAGCACGACAAGTCCCTCTTCTATTGCCCGTTTAAGGTCCGGGCAATCCCTTTTGATATGATCTTCTCCCCTACAATAAATGCATGAGTTCCTGGGAGTAGACGCCCTGTCGTCCGCCCCCCTAGACATCGATTTCCTGGCTGCGTTGGGGTCAGGCGACTTCGGATATGGTTCTGATGAGACACCATATTCCCCCCTCTCATTCYGACTGCGCGAATCGTTGCGCCTGTCTCCTCCAGACCCTCCTTGTTCATACTGCCCTCGCGAGTCATTCTGGCGGTTCCTCGAGTCATAGTGTCCTCGTGACTCATCGCGTCGGTCTCCTCGGTTGTACCATCCTCGCGACTCGTCGCG